TTCTTCTTCTTCTTCTTCTTCTTCTTCTTCTTCTTCTTCTTCTTCTTTTTGGTGAGGCAATTGGGGTTAAGTGTCTTGCCCAGAGTCACGCAGCTAGTGAGTGTAATGTGTCTGAGGTCCTATTTGAACTCAGGTCCTCCTGACTCCAGACTACTAAGCTTCTTGCTGTTTTTCCAACAAGACACTCCATCTACCCAACTGCCCAAAACACTCTATCTTGCCTCCCCCCTTTGCACTGGTTGCTTCCCATTCCTGGAATGCCCTCACTCTTCACCTTGACATCCATGACTTCTTTCAAGACTCAGCTCAAATGCTGCCCTCTGGGTCCCCCAGGCACCCGAGCCTTCCCCTCTGGTCTATTTTCCTTCTACAATGTGTAGTGTAGGTACATAGACTGTTTCACCTCTCTTTGTATTCTCTAAGTTTAGCACAGTACCTGATTTAATAAATGCTTGTTGACTGACCTCTCTGACCCTCAGTTTCCTCACCTATTGAAATGGACTTAATAATACTACACGCGTTCCAAGGCTTATGGAGAAGAAAGTGCTTTGTCAAAAATTAGAGTGAGTCTTTTGTGCAGAGGGGAACATGGTCATGCAGCTCACATCCTTGGTCCCTAGAGGGAAGGGTGGGACCGTGGGCAAGACCAGTAGCAGCCTTGGAAGGGAAATGAGCGCATCTGCTTCAAAAAACAGAAAAACAAAAAACCACCCAACAGCCCATGTTGAGGCTTTTTTTGTAATCGCCCAAGGGACAGTCAGTGACAAGACCTTTAAGAAGGAAGCTGGAATCCGTTCCTGAAATGCGCAATGAGGAAGGAAGATAGGGTGGGTGAGAACGCAATGTTCACAACCGTTGGACGGGGTAGGGATTCCAAGGGAAGCAGGACTCTCAGAGACCAGCAAGCAATAGCACACATTTCCCAAGGGCAGAGATCTCAGGGAGTAGGGATAGATGCCTGAGAAATGTATAGGAAGAGGAAGAATTTCAGGAATGGTGATCCTGGGTTTCTTGGGTACAGAAATATCAGAGATCAAGTATTACTATTATTGTTATTATTATTATTATTATTATATCTAGAAAGAAAAGGAGGACCAGAAGAGGTGAAGACACTTGCCCAAAGTCACATAGCTTGTGCTGTCAGGACCGGGGTTTGGACTCCTCTTGGGGTGACTCCAATATCATGGGGCTGGGGTGGGATGAAATGGGGATCTGAAAGGGGATCTTAAGAGATATGAGAGAAAGGGGAACCCTAGCTTCTCAGAGGCTGGGTTCCCAGGGATTCCAGGGACAGGGACCCCATAGATAGGGATCCCCTACTTTTCAGTTACACACACACACACACACACACCAAAAACTTGCCAGGCTGGCTCCAGGAGTTGAGTTTGTAATTATCTTTACGTTTTAGCCTCGGCTGCTTTAATTAGTCTGTTTTGACTCCATGCATGGGGCTCTGCATTTGGAGACCATTTTATTTTTATCCGACGTTTCCATGGTAACAGGCCGAGCTGGGGAGAGCCAGGCAGATTGCAAAGCAGACCCAGCCCACCCCCTCCCCTGGGACAGTTTGGGTTTCCATTTTAACCCTTTGCGTTTCTCCTCTGGCACCAGAGGCCATCAGGATTAATGAGGGAGGGAAAGGAGAGGCCCGTTTGGACAGCGGCCAGAGAAAGATGAGTGGGGGAGGAGGGCATGGAAGGAAGAGGCCAGGGAGGGGGGAGAGGTCCCCGGAGGGAGAAGCTGGTGGGAGGAGGGAAGAGAAAGAGAAGAGAAGTGGGGGGGGGCGGGCAGAAAAGAGAGGTCAGGGTGGGGGGAAGGGAAAAGAGATGAGGTCTGGGCAGGAGAGAAGGAGAAAAGACAGGGGAGGGAAACAGAGGTCAGAAGAGGGAGGGGAAAAGGAAAAGGGAGAAACCAGGGGAGAGGAGGGCGGAAGAGGCCCGGGAAGGGGAGGGGTGCTGCAAAAGGAAGAGAAAGGGGAGATGTCTAGAAATGGGAGGTTAGGATCATAGATTTAGAGCTGAAAGAGACCTTACAAGCCTAGCCTTCATGTTACAGATGAGGAACTGGGGGCTTGGTGACCTGGCCAAGCATGGCTCAGGGAGTAAATATTGGAGGGAGGATTTGAACCCAGATTTTCCTGCCTCAGGGCCCTCTTTACTATGTCACTCAAGGAAGGACCCTGGAAAGGGGAAGGATAAGGATGAAGTCAAGGGAGAGACACAGAGGGGCAGGGATCGAGCACAGAAGGCTTTCGGTGGGCAGGGCCAGCCTGGGTCCCCTTCTCTCAGGAGGCCCCGAGTCTCCAGCCCCAGACCCAGGCTGGACAGCAGTCCCAGGACAGCAGCATTGTTTGTCTGACCCAATGACCCGAAGGCTCTGCACCAGCACCGCTAAACTCAGCTCTTCTCTCACGAGGACGTCATGGGCTCTAGAGGGAGCCCGCCACAGACCCCTGTGCACTCAAGCACATGTTAGTGGCCAGCAGGCTAAAGAGAGCTGCCCTCTCTGAAAGTGGCCTGGGCCAGGTAGGGCAGAACATCTCATCCCTGGGAGGAGAAGCTGTCCATGGACTCATCTTCCCTCCCGACTTGCCCGTTTAGCCAGAGAAGAGAACTGGTCCATGCTGACATCAGAGCTCATACGGGGACCCGATTACCAACGGGAGAAAGAAAGGAGGGGTGTGTGCAAAGAAATCCGATCTTGGAGATCATCCTCTTTGGATAATTGATATATTGTAGGGAGAGGAGCAGAGGGATAGGAGCTAGCTGGAGCCAGGAAGAGAAGCGTCCACGCCCCACTTCTAACACAGGCTGGCTCTCTGCCCTGAGCTGGTAAGTGATTTAACCTGCCCCCAGTGCCCCCAGGCAGCTCTCTTGAGTTACAAAGCAGGTGCTTCTGCCTCACCAGGAGTCCCTCATGCCAGTGAAATCACACATCTGGGTTAATAATAATGCCTGTGTGAAGTTGTATGTAAATCAAATTTTCCAAAAATTAAATGTTCAAGGTGGAGACAGGAAGGGCATTTAAATAATTCTGTAAATTATACCTCTCCCCAATTTCTCTGTGGGGTACATATGTTATTTTCATGTATCATAAATCTGGATCTAG